ACATCGCATAACATAGCGTAGCATAACTTAGCATAACATAACATAACATAACATAACATAACATAACATAACATAACATAACATAACATAACATAACATAACATAACATAACATAACATAACATAGCATAGCATAGCATAGCATAGCATAGCATAGCATAGCAGCATAGCATAGCATAGCATAGCATAGCATAACATAACATAACATAACATAACATAACATAACATAACATAACATAACATAACATAACATAACATAAACATAACATAAACATAACATAACATACATAATTACTTACATACTTAGTTCTGAGAATATGTGAATATGCGTGTGAGTATATAATAGACTCATACGCCTACGCCTACGTGCAATTTTTTGCGCCCAGAGTGAAGTTACTCACTGGAAAGCTCTGGGTGTTCAATCCAACAGTCGGGCAAATGGTTCTGAATACCTTCAGCTCAAGAAAAGAGCCTTATCAGAAAAGGCTTGGGCGAATATTATTATATAATGCCATGGACTGTAAGGGGAGCACTATTATTCCGACCTCTATATAACAACCTCCTCGCCAGGCATCCAGTCGTTCACCAGAAGGGCCACGATGGCACCCACAAGCCCGATGAGGAGCGCCGCCGGGGGGTGGACACAGGCGCAGGTGGCCGTAATTGAAACCAGGGAACCGAGGATGCCGTTCACAACCTAGGCTCCCCAGAAACCCACAGGAATAACGAGGGTACACTTAAGGGTTTTAAGGTTAGCGTTTGTAGGATTTAGGGAAGATGGTTAAGAATAGAAAGTGTGTCTTTTGTCTCCTACTCTTCAGTTTTAAAAAGGGTGCTGGAAGACCTAGCAACATGATCTGCCAGGACCAGCCTGGCTGTGGAACGGACAAAAAGACTTCTGTTTCTGTGGGTGAATCTGTGGGTTTGTGTAATCATGAGCCTTCGTTCTGAGATCAAACCAGACGTAAAACCTTGTGTTTTGGGCCAAAACCCCGCCTCCCCTTGGACTTAGCTTTAGTGTAGAAGAGTGCACCGACTCCACCGCCAAAGGTCGCGTTGATGGTCGCGACACCTGACCGGGTCGCCACGATCCACTTGAACTTGGTAATTCCGAAGGTGCTGCCGCAGTTGAAGCCAATCCAGCCCCACCAGAGCATAAAGAGACCAATCAGGATACTCGTGGGGGAAGAGACCCGGAAGTCTTCAGCTGGGCGGATTCCCTCGAAACGGCCGTGGCGTGGTCCAACTAGCAGGATTGCTACTAGGCCGTTGGCGGCTCCAAGCAGATGCACAGGGCCAGCTCCAGCAAAATCGTGCACTCCCAGCTGCGCCAGCCATCCATCGGCCGCCCACACCCAGTGCGCCACGAAAGAATAAACCACCACAGCATAGAAGGCATAGAAGCAGTAGACTGTGAACTTACAACGCATGGCGAGGCATCCACTGACAATGGTTGTAGAAGTCGCAGCAAAGCTAAACTTGAACAAGAAGGTGCTGAACCTCAGCCCCGAGGATATCTCGTCGGCGTTTGGCACGTCCAGGAAGAAGTCACCCAGTCCCATGAAGGAGTTTGAGGGCGCTCCATTAGAAATGCCGAACCCCAGCAAATAATATGCTAGGCCGCCAAAAACCACATCGTAGACATTCTTGAGCATGATGTTCACTTCATGGCCTTTTGAAGATGATCCCATCTCCAGCATTGCAAAGCCACTTTGCATCGTCAGAATCACGAAGCTACTCGTGAGAACCCACGTAGCATCATCAGCATGGTCGGCATTCGCTTCCGCAAACTGTTCGGAGTCTGCCATGTGGTGCACCGGCAGTCGACATTTAAAAACTTCAGGGTGGGGATCAATGGTGTCGTGGTTACAAGGTGGTGTCTGTGACACGTGCTCTCGAATCTCCACGAGCATCGGTTTGGGTTCAGCTGGCATGGGCCCTAAACCAAACCGTACATATAGAAACCTAAACTCTAAAACCCTCAATATCCCGCAGCTTGAACGAAGAAAAAGACGTGCCCAACAAAGCAACAAGATTATTTGGGCTTCATGCGCTTCCAAAGGAGAACCAAGAGAGCTTCCTGGCTGCCTTGAGAATAACCACCGGAGACAAGCAAATGAAATTTGGGCATGCTGAAAAGAAGTAGGGGCCTTAATAATTAGAATAGGGTTCTGGGGGTTCCTTATTATACCTATAGTATAATATACCCCAAAACCCTATTCCAATTCTTAAGGCCCTTATATTACAATGTTGTCTCATCAGGTGGGCACTCCAGGGGAGCCTGTTTGCTCGTCAGATCTCCATATTTAGCAGACCCCCTACGCCTCAAAACTACCCCAAGCCGAAACCGGGAAGGCTCCAGGTGGCAAGGACGTAAAGTAGGGGCCTTAATAATTAGAACAGGGTATTGGGGTATCTTGTACCATAATCATAATAGGGAAAGCCCAAAATAGTATAGGTAATTATTTAGGCTTCTATAGTACTGATGATTCTGCCCGGAAGGATGATGTGGAGTGTAGATGGTGAGACTGGTGGCGATGACGGCAACAGCTCAATGTCCGCAGCCTGTGCACTTCGTCTTTGGAGCTTAGGGTCAGCAGGTGCGTGGGGTGGGGTCGGGTGGGGTGGTGTGGGTGGGTTTAGGGTTTAGGGTTTAGGGTTTACAGTTGGCAGACACTCTTGAAAACGAAACATCAGTGTAGATCTGAAATCCTGAACCCTCAGAAAACCCCTCCTCTAAGTAAGCTTGAACGAGCGGCTGGGCCGGCCCTTCGGGCGCTGGGCACTACGCTGTGAGAGGCCTCACAGGGCAGAGGTGAGCTGCACAGCCTCCCTTCTGTTGAAGGTAGGGTTTCGGGTTTAGGGTTTAGGGTTTAGGGTTTAAGGTAGGGTTTCGGGTTTTCGGGAGCCTTAAGCCCAAGCCACAGTACCAGTACACCCAAAGCCTAGTATCATTCTGCTAGTGCTAACTCCAGTCATCGTCAATAGTCAGTAACCCTTGTAGAAGCACACTCTATAGCATACACCAGAACCCTTGTACATGTTGGTTGGAGGCGGGACCCTCTGGGAAGGCCGAGCTTAGGGCACGCGAAAGACGCCTTTCAGCGAGTCATAAAGGAAAGCAGGATCTAGTTAGCGGTGTGCTTTTGAACTCTGTTTGCCCAAGAGTTCAAGTTAAAGGCTTAGGATTTAGGGTTTTGGGACAAGGGCTTCCCTAAACCTTGTATCCCCAAATCCCAAACCCTTAAGCCTTATTTGCTCAAGCCAGAAACCTTAAAGAAATACGATAGGGGTCGGAAGAGTTACCAATACTGCTCCTTAGGGCTCCTCAGTATGACCATAGCAGCATACAGCGAAGCCTGCATCATGTCAAGGCTCCATCAGCCACGACCCTAAGCCCTAAACCCTAAACCCTAAACCCAATACTCAAAACCCTAAACCCTAAACCCATGTAGAACTCTGTAAAGAGCTCAGGA